TGTATCTCCAGAATCCCTTTAGTCTGAAAATCTGTTTGTCGGAAAGCTCTTTTCATTATTTTTCTATTTATTTATTTATTTTGCATATTACTCCTTTTGTCATACAGTTGGCTTCATTTAGTTGAGTTTGGGAAAACCTCCTCCCGCGTATTTGTTCCTGGGTTTCTGAATTTTTGTCTGTGTGATATAGCTGATTGAAGTGTGGAAGAAAAATAAACTCTACTATAGGGAAGAGTGACTATTCAGGATGCTTCTTTTGTAGATAGGACTTTTTGTGGCAGTAGTGCATTCCTCCAGTATTTCTTATTGTAAAGAGAACTTCCAGAGTGTAAAGCAAATTTGTTGTCATCTTTCCGAAGGTGTTGGAAGGGCCCCTCTGACTCCTGGCTCCGGTGGTTTAGGATGTTACCATGTGGTCCGAGGTGGTTGCCCTTGGAGCAGCGCTGGCAGAATAGAACATGTGTTGACAGCCGCAGTCATTCATTTTGAACTCAACTGCACGAACTGCTTAAACTAAGCCACTGCACTTTATGCAAAAGTAGCTGAGGTAGATTGTGTTTACTGACTGTCGTGTCCCTGACTGCCTCTCCTTGATGGTTACTGCCCTACCAATAACTTCTTCAACTGAAAATCCCAATTTGCTAGACCTGTTTCATCAGTATTCTGAAACTGCATGCAGCTCCAGGATAGGCTGGCTGCTAGCTTAAGAAAATAAACGTAACGTTTAGTCTATACAACCATCTAGTATGATCTGAGCAAAGCAATCAAGGATATATTCTTACTCTCTTAACTTTCAGCTGAAAGGAGAATCAGAAAAATGAAGCTGACTTATGAATTTGATATAGGGGTCTGTTCTTTGATTTTACTGAAGTCTCTTTGGTGACACCTGTCATTTGTTTTTTACTTTCCATAAGACAAAGGGGAGTTTAAATGCACAAGTCGTTGCTGAGTAACGAGTGAAAAAGGAATATGTCCTTAAAAGGAATAAGGCTAAAAGTGAAAGGGAACTGTCATAACCATTAGTCTGCTGACGGAGGTGACTGGAAAGTCCAGAACGCACTTGTTTTTTTTCTTCTTAATAAAGGATAAAAAAAAACGCTCAGATGTTCAACTCCTTCCCTTCCCCAAGTAACCTTAATGTATGATCTAGTCAAAAGAGGTTTTTGTTCTTTTAACTGCTTTTCTTGGTAAGTGTTTGGCTGAAGTATTGAAACTTAAATATTTATAACATAGTAAAATGGAAATTCTTTTTTCCCTCTAAGCAGCTTACTTCTTAATATGGTGTGAATCTTGATAATCTTGAGACTCCTCGAGACTCCTAATTGTATTCCTAAACTCTGATGTTAACCTTACTCAAGCTATTTAGTTTAAAATATGTCTCAGTCGCGATCTTTGGAATAGAGTTTGTCTATGGTCTTTAAAAACTGCTTTTGATCAAAGCCTGATCATACTGCATTGTGTGTATAGCTTTTGCTTTCTAAATAGCGCATGACTAGAATGGGGGAGGAAACGAAGTGTATTGACTTGAGACTTTCATCTTTATAATGCACGTATTTTCCGCGAACCATCTAGAATACTGCTTTTAACTTTCATATGGCAAGTTCTCTAGTGTTGACGTCAAGAGGTTGTCTTAGCAGAAGACGTGGGGTGTTTTCAGACTTGTTCTTGTAACTGTACTCGTGTGACCAAAGAATGCAGAGGGTTACTCTTCTGTTGAAGAGTTTACTTTCTGAATGTCTGACCTGTTTGTGTGCGTGTTTTCTAACTCATCCCAATTAAAGTAAATTTGACTACTAAACTGAAACTAGTGCAGTTTGTTTTGATTGAAAATGGGATAGGGAGCACTCACATGAATAATACTGATGGCGAGTTGGAGTAGGCAGTAATGAAAGGCCGGAGTTAACTGGTCCGGGGCTGATTAATTTATTCAGCTAGCATAGTTATGGCTGAAAAAAGTATGGGCCTGCACCTGATGGGGTAGTTAAGCAGATCTCAAAGACAAGCTTGAAGTACGCTCTTGGAGATATTGAAGGCATTGCAACTCGGATGTAATCACAGGAATGTGTATGGTATGCTTTTAAGTGCCTGAATTTAATGAGAAACTCCTTGCAGTCAGCTCGTGTTTATAAAATTTTCTTAGTCTTTCTGATTAAAACTTATGAAATAGGACTTCTCTTAGGCTGCCTTTAATCCACATAGGGCAAGAACAGGTATATTATAGTTCAGCATGCTTCTCTAGTTCTGTTATCATCTTTTTCCAGGTTTTAAAAATGTAAGTTTTCCCTGATTTTACCGTTAAAATACTGCTACAGAAACTTTTCCTAGTTCACAATGTGCCTGTCAGTCCTCATTTTGATGCAGAAGGAACTAGTGATATGCTAATATAAGCATTTTGCCTTTCTCTTTTAAATCGCTCTCCCATAGGTGTGTGCAAAAAATTCACTGAATGAAACTTGACTGAGTGAAAAGTTTGTCAAAATAGCATTTCTTGTGATGATCCCCTCCTTTCTGCAAATACGCTAGAAGGAGTGGTGAGGGCTGCTCTTTGTCGCCTTCACAAAGTCCAGCGGTAGATCTACGGATGGGAGGGGAGGAGACTTCTGAAAAACTAGGTCTTTGCTTCTGCTGTGGCCAGCAGGACTGACTTTTATATTTTGCTCTTTTTTCCACTGGCAGTGTAAATTTGCAGAGGTAATGATTACTCAGGGTATGATGTATTTGGGCAGCATCATTCTATGCTCTTTCATTGTCTTCAAAAAATTTCATAACAGTGGACCTTCATTTTTGTATTGAGAATTTACTTTGAAATCAGTATTCATTTTGAATTATTTGTCCGTATATTGCAAATACATATAAGCTCTTGTGTAACATTTCAGTGTGACATTTGTTAAAAATACGTGTAGTTAATACTGTGTTTATGGCATCTAAAATATTGTATATTAAGACTTTTTTTTTTCCTGTTGAAAAGCAAAGATACCTAAAAACACTGAAACAAAATTTATTTCATCAGTGAATTCATAACCTAGGCTTGGGTGGAGCTCACATTACATCATCTGTCGAAAAATATTCATACTTGTGAGACTTTAGTCTGGAGATGTGAAAGACATCAGATAGAGCTAAACTGCTAATCCAAATTTATAATCTCTGTCTAAATATCATAGCTGTAGTTTAGTGGCTTTTTTCTGATGTCAGCCTTCTAACAAGACTTGCAGTATATTACAAGACTCGAATGAAAAGTTTGAGTTCTTTAGTTATTTTAGCGTTTCTGTGTATAATGCCTCGTCTGGATTATCGGGTAAAATTGTGGCCAGGGTAGCGAGAGGGCAAATATCTTTTTGTAGACTTGCATGTGTAAATGTTTATAACAAGCCAAATATTTGAAAGAGCAAAAACATATTGGCTGTGGTTACAAAAGTGCTGCAAAATATTTTTGTATTGCAGGCAATCTACTTTCCACGCTCGTTTTTCAGTCCAAAGTTTCCAAACAATTGCCTCTGGTGGCTTGCATGTTTAAATAATGCCTGTTCAGAACGGTGGAGGACTTGCAAGTCTTTTATTTTTTCTGTTGAGTGCTGGTTTTTTGTTCTCTACAGGTAGACGTGAATTTGTGGGCTTTTCTTGATCACTTAGTATTTTACAGATTTAACTGAGAAGCAGGCACAGCTTTTTTTCTGCCTTGGCAATGCGCAGCTAAGCTTGTCCTTGTTCACCGGTCACAACAGAAGTTTGGTTGAGCTCCCCTCTTTAGCTGCTTTCTGGGTGACTGTGCTGAACTGAAACTGAGTCTGGTGAGTGGTTGAATATTTGGGGCCTGAACAGTGTTTTGGATCTCTCGTGTCTAGCTTCGAGGTAAAGATGATATGTTCAGCTTTGCAAAGAAAGCACTAGGATGTGCAATTTGTTTCCCTCTCCCTTTTTTGTGACCCGTCAGAATTCTGTGGCTTAGGCGCACTAACTCCCAGCCCTCAACTAGGCTGCCGTTTCTCAGGAAACTGAGAAGTATATGGAAGTATACCATATCTAGAAGTATATGCTATTTATCAAGAGTATCTGAAAATACATTTTCTCCTTTTTAGCACAGAAAAACACAGACCAATTTAAAAAGCAGTATCCAGCATTCGGTGCTCTTCGTTCTAGCTCAGTGTTCCGTAAGGAATCAGTGAAGATGTTCTGAATGTAGGAGGTGCTCTCTCCACTTAGTGGATTCCTATAGTAGCTGTTTTGAAGTGCTAGGAATGGTATTAGTTGTGTATTTTTTATGAAGTTGGTATGTATAGACTTACCAATGTTTTGGCTTTTTTATTTGTCTGAGTATAATACCCTCTAGCAACTGTGCAGAGAAGAGAAAACTTGATCTTCTAGGTTTCCACAATATTTATAGCCGACTATTCTTTTTTTTTTTTCTTTCTTGAATTCGTTTGATTAACTCCATTGTAGATGCTTTGAGAGAAACTCGCTAAGGAGCGTGTATCTGTGGTTCAGTATCACCTCTGCTCACTTCACTCACCTGCCGAGAAAAAAATAACAATTAAAAAAACCTCTTTAACGTAATCCATTGCTAACTATATTTTTCTATGTATAGCATCCACTTTGATATGCAGCTCTTGGAAGATTAATCTTTATATAATCTGCATCTTCACACAACCTGCATCACAATATAGTTACAAAATAAATCTGTGTAGGCAGGAATTAGAGGGGTAGAGGGAGCAGGCTCTGGAGGATCAAAACCGGGGAAGTTGAAGCTCTGAGGTAGACTTCCCCTTACGTTATCCATACACATATGTAGCAGTCTGCTGTTGAATCACAGGATTTTTAAGTAGATGTTCTAAAAATCATACTTGCCATTAAAAAGAAAAATCTTACACTAATGAAATCAAGGTTTGAGAAATGTCATTAAGTATCATATGTTCATATAGTTTTAAGTATTGACATTAACTTCGTAATACATCTGTTAACATATTTATAGTTTCAAAACTTAAAAATTTTTGCTTCTTTGTTAGATTGATGTGGCAAGACAAGACTACAGACCTGATATGGAAGTCAAAACTTCGTTTAGCAAAGCCAGTAGAGTTCCTGAAACTGTATCCACGTTAATTAATGAAGAATTTGTCCTGGTTCATCAGCAGTCGGAGGACTCTTCTGGAAAAGATGAAAAACCTCAGCTGAAGGTTTATTACTACTTTGTTTTAAATGCATATTCGGATTTCTCTTGAGTTAAAAGTTGCAACTTACTTTGAATATTTAAAGATACTTGTGTGTGCTTGAGAAGATTCTTGGACGGTAATTTTTGTCATTGCTCATTACAAGTGAAATTAACAGCTCAGACTAAGCAAATCTGTTTGGCCAGAAGTGGCAGTTTAGTTGTTCTCATAGTAACTTCTTCAGGAGTCAGCTTTGTTAGTATTCTGTGGATTTATATATTAATATTAATAAAGAGATTTAAAATTTCTTTTTGAAGGATCAACTTCAGATTAAAGCTTAAGAAATATTCTTTACTTTGGGTTCAGAGACGCTGAATGTTGTTTTCATAAAAGAATGTAACAGGCTGTATAGGCATAGACCACAGTGAGTCTTGTTTTTCTGTGTGTTTTAATTTAGTTTTCTTGCATAAGTGCTATTTTAGACATGGCTAAGTCCTTTTCTGACAGTTTTCTACCTCCAAACACCAGAATATTGCAACATTTGGGTAACAGCTGATTGGTTAATTAGAGAACCCCATTTCAGTTGCAGTAGCTGATTTATTGGTTTTGATTCATTTGGAACAACAGGAATTTTGCACCCCTTGAAAAGACAATAAGCACTTGCTCTGTCTCTAAATAATTGCTGAACGTTTATGCGAACTGACGATTTCTGTTTGAATGTAAACACTAGCTGCTGCTTTGGTAGTCATATCTGGAAAGAGGTGTGTGAGCTGGAGGTAGACTCCATGATCCAACTTTGTATTGGGCATTCCATTTTTTTTTTTGTCTGAAATCCTAGTGCACTTTTTTCCTAGGGAACATGTCTGACTATTTCCTTGCCTTTTCCTGACACTTGCCCCCCTCCTATCTGTGGGAGCATAGGTGAAACAACTGACATGTATTGCATACGGCTAAGGAAGCAGAATTTTCTATAAGGAGAAGCTGTAAAAAAGTCTGTTGCTCTCTTTGTTTTGCATGGAGGACCTGAAGAGGCAAATCTGTGATTTTTAAGGGAGGTCTGTAGTTTTCAGATGAATGATTATTGGGCTGGCAGTGAGAACATGTATTATAGGTACTGAGATGAGGCTGTGGATTATATTTGATTTGAATTCTGTTGATTCTGAGACTTTGGGCTCCAGCGTACTTTTCTGCTAAGCTTTGAGGCGTACGTTAGTGTTCTCTGTAACATCGGAAAGTTGCTGTCAATGCTGACCAATGGGAAGAGCAGCAGACTGGCATGTGAAACCAGAATGCAAATGTCTGGCTCGACTATTGTTGTATTATGTGACTCAGGAGGAAGAACACAGCTGTGGCCAGGTTACTTGTCCCCTGTGTGCTTCAGTTCATCCATCTGGAAAATTAAGATAATCAATCGTCTTGCGATACGCTGATTCTACAGATGGAGAACTATGTAAGAAATAGATAAGTCTAATATTAATATCCCTTTGATTTGTCAGAACAATGTCATTCTATTGCCTGTCATTTTCTATAAGCGCCCACAGATCGGATCAGTGAGCTGAACTTCAGGAGGTATGAGGATTAGGCAAAGAGATATGAGCTGGTTGAAATACTGAATTGCTAAGGGAAACAAAACTCTACTCTGACCGTCTTTTCGAAAAGATCTGACTTCTTGGAGAATGCTGTGTTTCTCTTATTCCCAATTAATCTTAGAAAAAGAAACATGACTACCTCATCAGTGAACAGAGGCCTGTATTTTTTAAATTACATATTTAAGTATATATGTGTATACACATGTGTATATACATTATATATGTGTATACAAATATACCCATACTGTATGTTATTGATTTATTTACTTTTTAAAGTATGCCTACTTGTAGCTATTTTTATTTTGGTCGTTTAAACTACCCAAGCGTAGCACGACTTTTTTGTTTGCGTTGAGGGTTATTTTTTAATACCGCGTACTTGAAAAGTTAACATCAAAGTAAGTGTTAAGTTTTTTTTGTTCTCATTTTGAGAGTGTAATAAGTAATTTAAAAAATGTATACAAATTTCTTACTGATTGTTGCTTACTAATGTAGTAACTTCTTTTCTAATTTTAGTAGTATTACATAGTTAAATAGGAGGGGAGGTGATGAGCTGCAAATGTTTAATGGATCCTGGAAGCCCTTTGTGATCCGTTCTGTCTAATAATGTTAATGTGTCTCGGTTGTATTATGATACAATCTTATAGGTGCTTAGTGTGTTCTCTTGTTTAGCAGAGTTTCTGAACTTCTGCAATGAGTAAGACTGTCTGAAAAATAATATTCATATAAGTAGCTTTTAAAAAGGTCATCTCTGTCTTCTTACAGGTATTTTCGAATGGTGATGAACAGCTGGAGAAGGCAATGGAAGAGATACTGAGGGATTCTGAAAAAGAGCAGAGCGACTGTACTGCTAACCAAGAGGACTGTGGTGGTGATGCCTGCAGCCAGGTGGCTGGAGACATGTCAGCAAGTCAGACAAGTCAGCCATCCCTGCACCTTGTTTTAGATCCTTCTGCTTCAGGTACTGGTAAAGGGCCCCCTTCCTCCCAAAAGTGGTAGCTTTTTCCTTTATGCAATTTCAAATTAATTTTTAGCACGAATATAAGGCTTTCTGGGACTCCATTCTGAAATTATACTGAGATACCCTGGGGCCTCCTCTCCTTTTCAGATCAGGATAGGACTACTGACAGGAATACATTGTTATCAGATTAATACCCTGGGCTCTTCTGTTGTTTTGGTCAAGATAATATTCATTTTGTCTCAAGCCCTGGGTGAGTTCAGGTAGCTTGCTAAACTGCACTACAGGTGAGGCTCAAGACAAGATATTTCAGTGGTGCTTTCCTGGAGTGTTTTCAATAACTGAGACATGGTATAAGAAAGGAAAGTCTTTACCAAAGACTTTGGGTCTTTTCAGTCACCTTTTAACAGCCAAACGTGAGAATGGAAAATTCTTATTGTTGCTTTTTTCCTTTTTTAACATGAAAATACAAGACTGTGGCTCTGTCTACGGGCCTTAAATTTGATTTCTTTTTCCCTCAGTAGTATGCAGAGCAGTTCCATGGTATCATATCAGATGTTTCCCATAGCATTTATTTGTGAAGTCAAAAAGAAGTTTTCCATTTTAGAATCGGCTGTATGGCTTACTAATCATGGAAGCATCCTTCTTTTAGTTACATGTATGCTGTATTTTAGAATGATCTGAGAACTTACCTTAATGGCTTCTGGTTTGATGGCAGTTTTTACAGACTGATGTGCTTAAAACAAAAATAGTACTCTTAGCGTGAATGAACAAAGAAATGCTCATAAAAACTTTTTTTCCTGCTCTTCAATAAAAATTGGGCAACTTCTACAAATTAAGTGTTATATAAATATTAGCTATGGTCATAGGAAATAGAAATAATAGAGGGCAGGTCGCTCAGAGGCGTTTGGAATATCCTGAATATCCTTCTTTAGAGATATTTAAAATACATCTGATCAGGGCCCTGAGCAACCTGATCCAACTATGAAACTCATTGTAATGTAACCTGATCTGGATTTCATCAGGAGTTTTAAGCTAGATGACCTCCAAAGGTCCTTTTTCAACCTGAATTACTCTGTGATTCCATACTTTTGAGTTTTTTGAAACTTCCGCCTTTCCTCCCACTTCTCAAAATGTCAGAATGCTTTTAAAAAACAGAAGACACCTTCCCCACCTCCAAATCATCCCTGTCCATATTAGAGTGGTAGTGGAGAAAGAATGTTTCTCTTCTGCTGAGCAGAGGAGCAAGCAGATACTGCTTTTATTTTCCCTAGCTCACTGATGATTTCATGCATTGAATGTAGCTATTGCAGAAAAGTGAACCATATCTAATAATTCTGCAGAAGCTGCAAAGATGTTGGAGAGAAGACAATTAAAAAAGGCATCTTTGTGCAAACTGATTCATATGAATTTGAAGTAGATATAAGCAAACCAAAATGAAGGATCTGGAGAACTGAGTTTCAGGAAAAACTGTATTCTAGCACTGCTAAAAAAAAGAATCAAAAGGCAATTTGCCCTTATGCAGTACATGGAAACATGCATTGGAATAGACTTGACATAAATATTAAGGTGCTGAGTGGATTTTTTACTGTTGCAGCTGGACTGTTACAGACTTTTAACCCCTGTAAACCCGTCCTCAAGAGAAGTCCAGTTCAGCTCTAAGGAAAAGTAGAAGACTTTATTTTCTGAATGAGTTCAATAGCAATGTGTAAAAATAAAGAAAAAGGGTTAAATAAATGATTTTTTGTTTTTTTCATTTTCAGAAGTCTCTGCACCAAGGCCCTCTTCCCCTACTGAACCCCCAGAAGAGGACAGCGTATTGTTTAACAAACTGACTTATTTAGGTTGCATGAAGGTGTCTGCCCCCCGAAACGAATCGGAAGCATTACATGCAATGGCAGCTATGAAATCCTCAAGCCAAGCCCCTTTATCTGTGACGCTTTATGTTCCAAATATTCCAGAAGGCTCTGTAAGGTAACATATAATTTTTGTTGTTGTTACATGCACAGACACACAAAGGTCAAGTTCTGACTTTGTTCTCCCGCAGTGATATGAAATAGTTGAATTTGCACCTGAGTTCTTGCTGAAGGTGGTCAATTTTGAGAAATTCCTGTGAAGCAACAAAAAGCATGCTCAAATTAACATATTGCAGTATATAGTTGGGGGTAGCGATTGTCATGCAGTGTCAGTAAAAGCATATCTTTCTACCCGCTTCTTCGTTCAAACGTGGTAACAGATGCCTCTTTGTCTGGGGAGCTCATTCACATGAGTTGAGAGCTCCCTGGAGTTCTGAGGTACGTGCAGGTCTAGGTATCGGTTTCCTGGAACTCAAAGCAGAGAGAAATGCTATCGAACCTTCTGTCTACATGTTCAGGCCATTCCTTATAGATCATGACGCAGAACATGGTAGTAATACTATTTCTCAATAAAGTGAAATAGATTGAAGTACAGTGAGTTAGTTTGCCTTTTACAGAGAAGTGGTTGATCTGTGGAAGTGCTGTGTCAGCCATCACATTCGCTTGTTTTTGGTTACCCACCTGAAGCCCTTAAACTCTGAAGGATGGTCTGAGCCATTTCAAACAGATGAATCCTGAAAATGAGGCATGAGGCTGAAAGTCATTTTTTGGGTGTGGGGCTATGCTGAGGATCAGTTTTTCTGTATTGAACATCAGCAAGAGCCTGTTTGCTAGCTGTAGGGCAAAATATTTTCACGGATCTTGTTGGGTCATTTCTGATACCCTGGAAAGGGAGGGGTGATGTATGTTTTCTCCTAGAAAGAGAGTCCGTGATCACCTGCAAGGTAAATATGTTGAGACAGCAGTGATCCTGCTGGCCTTGGGTTAGCTGAGGAAGTTTCGCTTTTATGCACTCTCCCATTCTTATTGAGGGCTTGAGATGCTAGTCTCCATTTCCAGACATTCCTATGCTAAACCCAAGTCTCCTCTGTGTCTATCTCATGATACATATGCTGATTGTCTCTAGATGCTACAGGACGTTTACTTGTCCCCTGGGAGAAGAGATTCTTCTTTTTAGTAATGAGAGTAATGAGAGAGTCCAGGGATCTTAATCAGGGTGCACAAATGGTGTACCTGGCAGCAGTCTTGCGTCCAGAAGTAGAGAGTATCTTGGTATTCAAGATTCTTTCAGTCTAGCACTGAGATTTCTGCAGGACTTTATTAGTCCTCCCCTATGATATTTTGATGAGAGATCTAGCTTCTCAGTCTAATTTAAGTCTTGTCCTTAGTTTCGTGATGAATCAGCCATTTGAACTTCTGGACCTTCCTTGTTCGTCTTTTTTCAGCAATGACCTTTGTGATGACTATCATCTTGCCTAGAAAGACAGAGTGAGCTTCCTTCAAGCACATATGTGATTTATTTCCCTTTTGGTCTTTGAACCCAGTTTAAGATTTCATTCGAGATTATGGCAATATTTTATTTGAATTAAGGAATTACATTGCGTGCCTTCAAGATGGCTACTGTCATGTGGTTTAGGTATATCTATATGTTACATAGACAACACAGCCATTCAAGAAAGTTGTTTTCTTGCACGTGAAACTGTACAAGTCCCTTAGATCTTTAATTGCCTAGGGCATTATTAGGTGAAGGACTGTGCAAGAATCTGCATGGAACTGTAAAGGTGAATTCACCTATGGGATAATAGGCTCTGTCAAAGCTCAAGGGACATTAGCATCGTTTTTGAGGAATGCTTGCTTTCCTGACTTCTGGAGAGTTGCCACCTAGGGTTCCGTTTGACGTGTCCGGCCAACATTACAGTATGCTGAAGCCTTTTTGGGGCACGCTGGATTCTATTCTAAGAATGTTCTAAGCCCCAGATAACGGGGGCTTAGTCACACTTGGTGTGAATGTGCACGTTCACAAGTAGCCAGAAGGCAGAGGAGAATTACATAGCTGTTACTGTCATTGTCTAGATCTCTGTAGATCGCGTTTAGGTGGGAAGGGCTTGTATAAGTACTCTGCCAGTATCCTTGAGGCAGAAGTGATTTAGTTTGAGTGGTTGAGTACAAATATACCCACAGTGTGCCGCACAGCGTGACTCTGTAAGCAGACAACGCATTGGTAACCCTGATGCGTTTCATAGTTAGTGGGGCATTCTTTTTCCTAACGTAGCAATTACCTCTTAGTTGAGCTATACATAGATTGTTGTCTCTATGATCCCTTCTTCTGTTGCTTCTCAGTTTATTTTTTAATTGTTAATACAATTTTTTTGTGGTGTGTTTCTTAAAGAAACATAAATACAATTTTCATTATTTAGATTCATTATATATGCTTTTCAGTGCTAGGTTTTTCCAGCGTGATGAAATGTTTGTCAGTATTTGATTAAAGAGCAGACAAAAGTATGTGGCACCTTGAGGAGTTTCAAGGGAGTTAATATACTTGATATCGACATGTGGGTCTTTTAAAGTTTTGTGAAATTACAAAGATGATTAAAGGAGCCAGGAAATATCTTCAGATATCTTTTGAGCACAAATCTGTTTGAAAAGGTGGATGTAATTTGCTGTATTACTTTCTATAACATAGCTTAAAATAGCTTAAAGGATAGGGCAAAATAAATCAATAGTTCAGAAGTTGACTGCAGACTGGATTTTACATCTTTGGCACTTTATACAAAGCTGTTATGGTTAATATTCGCCTGAATGTGGTAGCAAGCTGTAATTAAGCTATATCGTGCTATGTGTTCTATATAAATAATGCTTACTTAAACAGAGATTTTAATCCTTTTATAACGTTGAATTTTTTCCTAACTTTGTATGGAAATTTGCACTTTCATAGTTGCTGTGGTTTCTACGTGCCCACTATTGTTTCCTGTGAAAGATTGCAGGGCAATGATGCTCAGTGTTATTGTATGAGATGGATGGAGGTATTCTATTCCTCCTACGGAGTATAAAAAAGTTAGGACAGTGTTGCAACCAGAAATATCCACATCTTAAATTTGGAAAGCCTGGCCTGTCTGTCCTTACTGCCCCTCTTAGGTACTTGAATTTAGTAGCAGTTAGAGTTTTAGATACTTGTTTATCTAATTGCAGAAAGATCTTTTAGGTAGGTCTGTTTGTTTTGACTGTCCTTTTTGTGCCCTTCCTTCCCTTGACAGGATAATAGATCAATCAAACAATGTGGAGATAGCCTCTTTTCCCATCTACAAGGTATTGTTTTGTGTACGTGGACAAAATGGAAGTTCAGAGAATGACTGTTTTGCATTTACTGAAAGCAGCTGTGGAACAGAAGAGTTCCAGATTCATGTTTTCTCCTGTGAGATTAAAGAGGCAGTAAGTCTGAAATGTTATATACTGGTGACTTGTCAAAAAGGATAGAAGGAGAATTTTTTTTTTTTTTCATTTAGTCCAGATGTGAAAATGGTTTATATTACCTTGAAAGATTAAATTATTTGACACATATACAATGGATTTTACAGAAGGTACAATTAGTCATGTATGAATACTAATGTATTTTAAAAAACCTAAAAATTTATTTTAGTATCTCAGTTAAATACCAAAATACATTGTAAAGGAAAAATTTAGAAACCTAGGTTTAAGACGAATAATTTGGTTTTCCATCCTCATTTGGGTGGGATTCAGACTGACATTGCAGTATAGACCTTGAGACTTGCATAGGATCAAATAGAGACTGAAAAAGGAGAAACCTTGATTGTCAACACGTGCAAGAACAGACTCTAAGTTGTATAGTTAAATACACAACTTGAAAAATGCATTATTTGGGTTCTCTAATGACTGACGTTGCCATTTGGTAGTAAGTGTTAACTTACTAAGTATTGCATCAGAAGTGAATGTGACTTGAATATAGGAGATATTATTGAATTTACCTCATTATTAAACTTGACCAGAATCCTGCCTTCTTTATTTTTTTGAAAGGGCAGGAAGTGATTTTTTTTTTTTTTTTCTTCAGCAGAAGAGGCAAGGGATGGTAAACTGACCTTCAAAAGTTTTCATATACTTGAGGCTTTATTCCTGAAGACAGTACATCACAATATTTACCCCTCTCTCTCTGTCTCTCTCTCTGCATATATATATATCTATATTTATTATGAATGATAATACTATTCTTCTACTTTTCTGCAGGTCAGCAGAATTTTATATAGTTTCTCAACAGCATTCAAACGTTCTTCCAAACAAGCATCTGATCACGTTAAGGACTTTGTGCTTCCTACTCCAGATAGCGATGTGTACACTTTCAGTGTTTCCTTAGAGGTCAAGGAAGATGATGGAAAAGGAAATTTTAGGTAACCTGAACGGAGAGTGAAGAGTAGAAATCTTTTTGAAACGAACATGTATCTACCTGCAGAATGCACAACTAACTGGTAGTGAAACTGATTTGGCTTTTCTTTAGTTGACTGTTACAAACAGGAAGCTATTGCTTTGCTTTTTCTTCAGTTGTTTTATCTGTATATTTTCAGTGAAAAGATTTAAAAACGAGCATCCCTCTTTCAAATTAACTATTTAATTTTAAACACGTTTTTGATAGGGATAGTCAAGGCAGGCCTATGTAAATGAAAAAAGATAACTGGAAGTCAGTTGCAAGCCTTTATCAAACCAGTTTTCCTAAATAAGTACATTTTATTGTTCTCCTATTAACTTTTTTTTAAAGCTACAGATTCCAACTTTACTAACGGTTTAGAAAACTATAAAGTTCTCCAAGCATTAGAGAGGACAGGGAGATAAAGTCTTACTTTAAAGATAGCCTTTACTTAACTGTTAATTACAAGATTTTTGGAGTGGAAGAAAGAGTTGATAATAAGAGTGAATTTGGTGAAACAGTTGTTTTTATTTTTTGCTTCGTATCTAGTGCATTTTCTGTCATTTCAAAATCAGTATTATAAACTGAAGGAGATAACTTTGTGAATGCAAAAATAAAGACAACAGCAGCAACGAAGGAGAAAACTTGCACTTTGGATATGTGGGCCAGATAGTGTCCTGAATGTGTGGGGGATTTAAGTGTAGTCTTTTTTTCTTCAGTGCCAGCTTATTAACTTGGTGTGAGTAAAGGAAGCGAAGGGCTCTAAAATGAGCTGAGGCATAGAGAGTTTAAGCAGGTTACTGCTGTTTCTTCTGTATTTAACAGCTAATCGTCTATATCTATGCTAAGTAAAGTTGTTTGTTTATTCTTTTAGCCCTGTGCCAAAGGATAGAGAGAAATTTTATTTCAAACTTAAACAGGGAATTGAGAAGAAAGTGGTGATTACGGTCCAGCAGCTCTCAAACAAAGAACTGGCTATTGAAAGGTAAGATTGATATAAAAATCATGTAGGTTAAGTTTTGCAGAGAACAGTATGTAATGTACTCTTTCCCAGCTTTGCAAATTATGTGACAGAAACATAGAGAGCAAGCTTGGGAAAAAAAAAAAAAGTTACTGAAGAAAAGTGACTTGATTGCTTTGAATCAAGAAGTATTCACAGCTTGGCTCTCCGAATCAGGAAAAATAAAATGTTTGCTCCCTCTGGCCCAAAACATTGTTTGTAAAAGCTGAGTTGGATTCTAGGTCAGTGTGGGGGCTGCCTTTTGCTAGAGGGACCGATTATCAATCGAATTCAGATTTACCGAGGATGTCAGCAGGAGTTTCTCCTAGATAAACCTTTTATCTACCAAGAATCTCATGATTAATGTGTCCTGCACGGAGTTGGGAGAGCTCGTTCATCTTCAAGTTTGGACCCTGTGTTCTTTTTCTTTCTGTGAGGCTTATTTACAAGCCTTTATGTGTTTAGAACTTGGGTATGGAAGACATTTCTGACTTCATTTTTGAGTATTCACATTTCGGACATTGTCATACAGAATTGCAGTTGTGCATTATGAATTAGTCAGATCACTTGCACTTCTTTTTTTTTTTTTTTTTGAAGCCATATGATTCTGGCCTTAGTATAGCCATTGCTGAATGACGCCTGAGTACTGTTGTTCAAATGTTCAGAACAAAGTAGCTGGTAACATCAACAAACAGTTCTGACCATCACCGAAGTGTTCAGTTGCGGTTTCTTTCAGAGCATCTTTCATAAATGGGACTGGGTTTGTTGTGCTTCTCCAGAGAGGCCTCCCCTTAGGTGCCTTTCGGATTCTTTTGACGAAGTGATTTACATATCACTTTACTCTCCTCATAATGAGACTGCTTAAGAAAGGTACAGTACCAAGCTGCTGTTTGGGCTTGGGTAGCTATGTTGTTTGGATCCAGTGAAACTTTCCTGTTTTTTTCCTAAGTGCAGCTCCTAATTGCTTTGCCTGTTCTGACATGGTCTAAGTAATAGTAGTCTGTAATTTGACCTACCATTTTACTTCCGGTATCCTGGATGCAAACTGGGTGATGTCCCCAGAAGAAGCTGTTCTGCTGAAATTCAGACCATCCCTCATCAAAGCAGGAAAGAAATCCCTTCTTTCTAGTAGCTACAACAATGTGTAGAGTGATAAGGGAGTTTTAGGCTGATTCCTTGTGCTTATATAGTTCTTCCTGGTCCCAGTCCATGCCTGTTTATACAGATGTATTGTAATTCCGTTATGAGCTATTGTGTTAATTTTTGAGGGCTCTTTCTGAAAGCCTCACGTGGTCCTGAAAGGGAAGGTACAATTCATGTATTTGATGTACTGTGGACTTTGAAAATCCTGAGCAGAACAAAGTTGCTCAGCAACGTGCTTGGATTGCGTGCAGCCTTAGCTGATAGGGGATAGCTCGTATTCTCCTGATGTTATCCAGGTGAGTCCCTAGCTGTGTAAGAAGGTGCCACAGAGTAGCCAAATTAGCTGTGTTAGACCTTGGACAATATTTATCGATTAGATCAATGTACTGGAAAAGTTCAAATTTGGATTCAGCCTGCTGGTTAGAAGAAGCAGTAATTTAGTCAAGTCTTCAAGACCGGTAGGATTGTCTTGTGATTTATTTATTTATTAATAATGTGATTCTGATGTTTATCTTTAAGTGACGGTGAAGAGTTCAGGAATGGTTAGTGACCTGTGTGTGTGTGTTTTTTTTTTTTTTTTTTTTTTAAATTTCCTGGAAATTAAATGAGGGGGAATCCTGCTGGATAGAATGTGTGCACAAGAAGCAGACCGCACCCTCGAAGAATAAGAATTAATGTGTTTGTTAATAACAGACCCTTTCTTACTATGGTAGTAGTAGGTGTTGTGTTAGTTTAAATTGGAAAATTCCCTCTCAGTAACTGAATTTTAAAAATAGGCAGCACCACCAGATGGCAATCTTATCAAAAGAATAACAATATGAGATTTCAGAGTTATGAACAGAGAATTTAAGATAACAGGAGAATCAAAAATCAAAATTAAGATTTCTCTCTTCACTTGCTTTCAAGCTCTTTGTTCACTAACTAAACTAAATGTAACTAAATAAACTAAAAAATTCACGTAAGGATTATAAATACTGCCAAGTTTCATTTATCAAAATGATTTGGTTTGTAAAACTGCATTTTTGGTGTTCATTGGCTTTAAAAAACAATCCTATAATCAGTCTGTTTTTAGTTAAAAAGTAATTTTGGCTTGAAAGTGCAGTCCATGAGTGATTAAACTCTTTGTGTGTTAAGCATTTCTGAATAATGTTAAATTATATAGCAGAACTCAGTGTTGATTGTTATACAGCGTTTTCCCTTTGGGGGACCTGGGCAAGTATGATAGTCTGTTTTTGGTCCATAAGTAAAACTACTGTCACTAGAAATCAGCTTTTATTTTAATGTTATTTAGGGTGATTCAATTTGGATGTTGTTTTTATCACTGCAAGCTTTGTTGATTAAAGTTATTTAATTGATAAGGCATGCATGGGCTTGTAAATAATTTTACTTACGTAGCGTAATATTATAATTAAAAATGCAATAGAAGATCAATTTAGATTATATCGAATAGCCATTTTCTAGGCTATTTAGTGCATCTTCAGAAGTAATTCTAAGTAAAAGTCTAATGAAAAAAGTTGCTAGAGAAGCTTCAAAGGGATTTGGTCTTTAGTCTGGGGAGTTACAGAATGTTTATGGATGGTCTGAGAAAAGTAAACCTGGTATCGCTTGAAAAACTTGCTAACACCTCCACTACCCCGTGTTCAGTTAAGGACTATGGCTGGGATAGGTTGATAGAGTAGGTTACCCACAGCCGCGTTACTGTGGCCTTTCCTACCTTGTGGTCTTTTTGACCTGGGGCTTGTCTATTTTTATCTGGGTTAAAGTAGGTCAAGAAACAATGTTTGCCCCTTTCCTCCTGGGTTTGAGTCATGTATGGCTTGATAGAGGTTCAGCCCTGCACTGTGGGTTATCAAGTCTCTGCTGTTTGCAGTGTTTAAGAGGAAAATTCTGGCAGAGCAGAGTAACAAGGGCTGGGTGATTTTTTTTGCCTTCTCCTAACATTGATAAAAATAAAATCTGTAAACGTCTCAGACTGCAGAATACCCATTCACAGCTTAGCAGTGCTTCTTGTGATGGTATCTCAAGTTGGTGAATGACTAATGCCTGGCTCTTGGAAGGAAAACCATGACGGTGTGCTCCCACACATGAAGTTGTCTAGTGGCCAGCTTTGCAGCAGCAAATCCTGGGCGGGCAGACTTTGAAACATGGGGGAGAGGGGGCTGACGCCTTTGCTTCTGCACAGACCAAGTCTACTCCCTTTTAACTCAGTGCATTTTTGGATTGGGCTAAGGACTTAGTGTTCTCCTCTGTTCCCTTAATAGGAGTTCAGAGTAGAGCCCTGTATTCATGTGCTGTAACAAAAACTATGCCTAGCTGTGGGTTTGTATGAGTGTTTACATTCAGAACTGATAAAGGTACAGCCTGCTGTTCAGTCTGTGGTGTCTGTCTTTGTGTGAACCTGCATGTTTGAGTCATTTGGGAAAGTAGTGTGTAATAGGACAGGTCTGCAGAATATTTCTGGTTGCTTGATCGATGTGTATTCTAACAAAGATTTAGTGTGGCCTTTCATCTGTGACTAAAGCATAGATCGCATCCCTAGAAAAGGGACTCTTTGTGGAATGCATTGACTCAGAGGAGTTAGCAGTGGGGTTTAAACAGAGCGTTATGCTATTCACACAGAGTTTTACCAACGTATGTAAGTATACCTGAAGTTAAAGTCTAGACTGGTTGAAGCCTTAGAACTGATGTATAGAATATTGGCTGGTTGGTCGGAGTTACTGGAAACTCTTAAAGATCATGTGAACTTAATACCGCTGGCCTTATCCATGTGTAGCATTTGTGTTTGTATAAATGGAAATACATATTAGTGAAGTACAATTCCAATTTGTTTTTTTACAAGTTTAGAAATTAACTTGTTGCATTTAAATAGAGTAGTACGCTGTACAGTGCGCTTGGTAGCCAGCTGTAAGTGCCGACAAGCCAACACGCAAGAAGTGGCGAGACTGAGGCCCGCAGTCCAGGCAAATCATTCTGAATCTGGCGGGTGTGGTGGGGGGTGACATTCTTCTGAAAGAAACAGCCTTGGCTGGTTTTACTCCGCAAATCAGAGGCTGAACATGTTAACAACTGGTTGTATAATATCCAAGTCCTTTGCGAGCCAGGGTGAACTCATTTGAACTCATTTCACTTGGTGGGAATAGGAGCCCTAACTCTTCTAGTAGCAAGCTGCTGCCGGCCATCCTAAGTATCTGTTTTGCAAGAGGCAGGGGTTACTTGTTCCTGATTCCCATTTTTTGGAAGCCTGCTCTTCAAAGATTTTGCCTGGCATGCCTCAGAACTTGCATATGTCTGAGAGGAGCACAGCAAGCGCTAGGATCCTGTGAGCTGTTGTCTTTGAAAAACACACACAGTTTTATCTGCTGCTAAAAGTTGGTCAACCCTCTACTATTATTAATTATAGCCCGTTCAGAGCTATTTTTACCTCGGGAACAAAAAGTAGTACAGTCAATTTGCTGTAATGTTCTGCCAGGTCTAATTAGTCTTGCAGAGTCACTTGCTCTTGTGGTTGAGTAAAAGCCTTAGCATCCTAGCTGCCTTGGTTGTTTTACGTGGCGCTGCATTGTGCTGTTTAGATAAATCTCAATTGTTGTGTGCTCATTTTATTTACTACTTTGCTTTTTTAAGACTCTGTCGTATTGAGAGAGTGTAAGGATCGTCTGTGATGAGGAAGGAAAAATACAGTTCTGGATGTAAGTTACTGTTTGGCCTAAGTGTAGCGAGGAGGAAAAAGAAAATCATATGCCCAAACGTAATAGGGACAAACTTACTACGTGATGTAGTAATTGCTTATGTTAAGACTGTGTTCTACAATTAATATAGCATTATTCAAATAACAGTTGTTGTTAAATTTGTGTCCGTGATACACTGGCCTGCCTGAAAGCTGTGAAACTACTCTTTCTTCATTGCTATCCTGTGAATATTCCAATAATATCTTACCTCTGTTTGCTGAGAAATATAAATTTTCATTTGGATAACTGGATTGCCCGGGTGACAGAACTGGTTTTGTTCACAGTTAGGGAAAGTGGGAATGGGGTCTCCTATTGCTGTCTAATTGCTGCTAGTGGCAGGGTGTAAAGAAGATGGAGCCGAGCTCCTCTTAGAGATGCAGAGTGGTAAGATTAGAGTCAATGGACACAAGTTACTTCATCGGTATTTATTCTGTTGCGTTAGGACAGCTTTAGCCCCTGCAAGGGGAACTGAGCGTTGGAACAAGCTGCCCGGAAAGGTTGTGGGATCTGCTCTTGGAGATGCACAGAACTGGCCAAGGCCCTGAACAGCGTGACTCAAGTTAGTCCCCCTCCGAGTGGAGGGTTGGGCCAGATCACCCGCAGAAATCCCTCCCAGTGCATGTTGTTCTGTGAGTCAGTGATGAATAGTGCCATCTCTGGTTATTAGAGACTTGAACTGTAGGGAAGGAAAATTCTCTCAATAGCAGAATCTGTCTGGGCCAAATTAAACCTGACAGTTTATACTGGATTAGCACTCTGCATCATGGGGCAGTGGCATTTTTGAGCTGGTTCTAGGCGTGCTAAACCTAGGTTTGCTGTCTCACAGATCCACAATGCAACTTACTCGATCATGAAGATCCTTGCGTCTGTAAAATACAGAAATACATGCAATACTTCCCTGTCCATCTTAAATTCAGTTTTTAATCTTTTGACTTTTTTTTCCTTATTTTTTAACAGATGGTATTTTTAAGGACTACTGACATTATATGGGATACGATGTATGACAATTGTAACTTTTCATACAGTTATATAAAAACAAATTTTAAATATAGACTAATGAGAGATTGAATTTCTTCTTGCCAATTTTTCATACTAATGTATAAGAGTTGGTATTTTTAAACTCAATATCTTAATTCATCTTTACAAATATTTAATTGTTCACAGCTGACATACCAATATCTGTCGTCTTTATTCTGGAAAATAATTTCATTGCCATTTTTATAATATATATTGTGAAGTTTCCTGACTGCGTATGATAGAATACTAAACAAAAATTTAGGAAAAGTTTTTTCTAAAGGCAGTAGGAAGCTGTGCTATTATGTTAAAGAAATATTTTTCTATTTTGAAAAGCTAATGTCTTTAATCTTTATTTATTTATTTTTATCCATTTATTTATTTATTTATTTAACTTCACAGATGCTTTGGCATGCTGCTGAGCCCTGGACGAAATGTGAAGAACAGTGACATGTATTTACTGGACATGGTAATACTGAGTTCTAATAATCTATTTAATAAGATGAATGTGATGGAACACTCTTGTGTGTTTTGCTTTTGTTTTTTAAATGTTATGTTTTAAAACAAATTTGTTAGGTGTAATAGGCAAAACATTTTCATAATGTCAAAAACTGTAGCATCTAGTTTGTGTTGAATGGATGAAGACATTGATTAGGTCAGCTAACGGTTAGTCGTTACAAATAAGTAAGTTATCTGTAGTGTGTTAAGCATGTTGCCTAACGTTTTAAAAAAAGATTATTGTTTTTGTATTTTATTTTTCCAAGATGCTGAAAACTTGACAATTATTTGCTTTGTTTGAAATGAAACTCTTGCTGAAAGCTTGAAGTATTCATTACCTTTTTTATCTTAATTCCTTGCAATGAGTTGCATATAAGAGAACTATAAGAAAACGTGACAAGAACTACGAGAGAATATCCTGTGATAGTAACAGTTTGCTCTCATGCTGTGGACAAGAATAAAACCATTTTCAAGTCGAGAACTGCTTGACTTAAACCAGTTGTAGATGTACAGTTATCTAAATTTGGCCTACTCTGTTTCTTTATTCATGTTAATGTTTCTAGCTATCCTTATTTAGTTCTTTTGTCAGATGTAGGATATGCAAATACTGGTATATTTGTCTGTACGTATGCACTAGCTTATTGTTATCTATTTTTTATTTGTTGACGTGCCTTCTGATTTTCCAATTTTATTATTTGATTAGAAAATTAGAGTAGATTATAACGAGTTATGGAGCACAATGAATTGGTTTCCACAAGAGGAATAAATCTGTATAATGCTTTTTTACTGTGTGCGCTGCATATTCAAATCCATGTCTTTAAGTTTAGCTACTGGATGTTTTACCTTATTAGTTCACTTCTCGGCTACAAGATATACATTTAAATGTGCATTAGATTGTAGAGTAGGAATGTCAGCCTCCCTTATCTATGAAGAGGCTACTATACAGGCCTGTTGGACCCATAGGAATTCTCCCAAAAAAGTCCAGGAAATGTATACTTGGCTCATACTAGTAATGGTCTATGTCTGTAAGTTACATACCCTGTTCCAAGCAGGTCTGTAAGAAAGATTTGTAGAGATAAGAGATGCATAGCATAACATTATTTTAATCAAATCTGGAGACGCTGATGTTGTTAACTTTATGTGGCTGTTTTGATTTTGTTTGCATATTTTCCTGAAATCTGTCTCTCTGCTGACTTAGGAACTTGTATTCCAGTCCATGAAAATACTTATAAATGTAGATCTCTGCATGTGCATCTGAGGGGAAGAATCTGAGTTTCAGAGTAAAAACAATCAGCCTGATCTTTGGGTTGGACTTGTTAAGGTTATGTTCTGTTAAGGTTTTATCCTGGACCCTTTCTATTTATACTTCATGTCTAATTTAATTTTATGAAGCAAATCTCTTTTAACTGATCCTCTCTGCTAACAACCATCTCAGATGCTCATAAAGTAAAAAACAGAATGGCTGACACCCCCCCCCAAAAAAAAGACCTCCTTTATAATGAGCATTGAAAGAAAGCATGTTGACGCTGTCTTGTCTTCAGCTCCTTATGTATTTTAGCCCTTTTCTTCTTTTTCTTTCATTCCCCTATATCCTTTCTCAATCCATTAGATCATGTTCTCTGTTCTGGCCGTGTTCTCTATGGAGTGAACACAGTCTTACTTTGAAGTTCTTAGCTTCCCTACCCTCAATGGTTTTGGTCTCTAAGCGTGACTAATCCAGTATGTTTTTATTTTTAGGGAAAGAGTTCTGATGGGAAGGCTTACGTGATTACTGGAATGTGGAATCCTAATGCGCCAACGTTTGTAGTACTTAATGAGGAAACTCCTAAAGGTAACCTAATCTAATGTGTAAGCTTGTTTTACCTGGCATAGGTTTGATGATAGGGATCACGGTGCGTATGTCTGAGTACATATGCCGTGATGTCCCGAGACTCTGTGACTAGGATCAGAACTTTTCTGTATAAACAGATGCAATGTAAACCTATGAATAATTTTTCACTGAGCTATGTGTTGCTGATTTGGTGCCAGTCGATTAGTATCTGGGGTTTACGCGTGTGCTCCTCAGTTATCAAAATTTTTAGCCCTAAGCATGCAGAAGGGGTTTTCCCCTTTTTATACTCAGCAGCAGGGCAGTAGAAATCCTGGGCATTGCTGTTCTCTCTCCTTCAGCTTTGAGGTGAATTGTTTACAAATAGCACTTCATCCCCCTTCAGTTTGGGGCAGATGGAAGTGTTGCACTGAAGTGCTTGAGGATGTAGCAGCAGTGATGTAAGGTCAGGATGCAAAGCTGGATTTTTGTTTCCTATCCCAAGGCAGAGGCTGCTTAAAGGCATATCCAAGAACATATAGTCAGTCTGTCACTGTTTTTGCTGCTGGATTTTCAAATCTCTTTATTCCTTGTAGCATGTAGGCAAAACTCTCACTGTACAGCTTGACCCAGTTTACACTTAAGGATATGACTTTGCATTTGTGTGTGTATTTTTCTTTAAATGGCCGTTTGCCGCTCTGGACTGATAAGACAACAGAGCACGGGGATCCCAAATGTCTGTTTCTGAATGTTTATTTTAAAAAACTGTGCTTCCTGCAAGAAAGATACCAATTGTGATGCAAAATGATGGCTACTGCTTCTCTCACTAGTGAGCGCTTCTGGAAGCAGCGATCCTTTTCTTGCACTGTAAACCTGCAAGATACTCTTGGACTATTTGAGAGGGATCTTCTGGGCAGTTGATCCTGTGTTCTGCGCTACTTGAAAAAGTTTGAGTTACCTTTCAGTGTCAGAAAGGTGGAGCCATTATAGATTAGGATTACTGATCCATGTTTTATTTTAAAAATAGCATTGTGTACTGCTCTGATGAGGACTGTCAGACCCAGAGTGTGAGACTGGGAGGGGTAAAGTGTTTTGGGTCCTTGTAACTGACAGAGTATGGACAGGAACATAAAAAAAAAGGTCCGAAGTGTTTCGTAGTGTTTAGAGAGGACTTAGGACAGGCAATGGTATGGGAGATCCTTGGTGCTGATTCATTACTGATATCTGTTTCCTCAAATGTAAGGTTTATGCCTTTAAATGTAACCTTATCCTGTGCAATTTCCTTTAGTGTGATAAGAATCACGTCTGTTAATGCTGTTTTGTGTATGTGACATTTTGCTTCTGTTCCTACAGATTCTCTATGTTTTAGAAAGGTATCAGAGTTACTTGGTACATTGTTTAAGGCATACTCTTATCTAAGTAGGCACGTAGGAGATAGAACTCGGGCAAGTAAAATGAGTACAAGCGAATCAATAATTTAATAGAAAGGTTTCAGTTTCAACGAAAACTTACTTCAGTCATTTCTGTTATTTTGAGAAATCTGTTCTTTGACTACTTCTTCTGTACATGACTTATTTTTGTGTTTTAGATAAACGTGTATTCATGACTGTTGCAGTGGATATGGTTGTTACTGAAGTGGTAGAGCCGGTCCGCTTTTTGCTGGAGACTGTTGTGCGTGTGTATCCTGCTAATGAACGTTTCTGGTATTTCAGCAGAAAAACCTTCACAGAAACTTTTTATATGAAGCTAAAACAGGTACCATGGGTTATTTTGTTTGCTTCTTTTATTATTAACTGATTGTAGGAGTGCTAGGTTTATCTATCTTAATTTGGCTCCATAAAAGTTAACAAGAGCCCTGAGCATCAGTAGGTTTTTTTTTTAATCAATTATTGCTGTAATGTTTCAATACATAGCGTTTAAGTAGCATATATAAAGCATTCACTGCGTCTATAAACTGTGAATTAGAATGAGTTGCAACCATTTGTCTCTATAGGCCAATTCTGACTGTATGTCCTGATTGAAGACTATAGTTTCATGCAATCTGACTTGTATGCAGCCTTCTAAGACAAGTCCATTTGACTGGTAAAATCAGGAAATGGCTCTTTCGTCGTTCACTGTGAAACCAGCTTATATCTAACAAAGGGACGTCCTGGCTACTGAGGTTCAAAGTCATAGAAACGTGAGAATAGGTGGCTGGAAGGATGTAATCAGTAAAAGGCGATCACTATCAGGCCATCGCTGTTGTTGTTTCAAAGAGTTTGAGAAGGTAGATTTCTTAATATTTTCGAAAAGAGAAATTTGGAAGAGAAAATGTATCTGAAAAAGTAAGTTCTGATGCATGGATAAATTTGCCACGTTTTCATGCTGGTGGTTGCTGATGGTAAATTCTTGCCCTGCTTTATTTAATCTGCGTTTCTTCACTGCCCCAGGCCTTTGTGAAAGGGGATGATAAGGGAATTACTGTTGCAATTATTTACTAAATCAGCATTGTTTGTGTAATTTCATGTCAGCAATCGTAACCTTATGAAATGTTCTAACACTAAGTAAAGACATAACTATTTTTAGCAAATTATTTCCCCTGAAATATTCCAGATTATCAGTCCCTCAGAGTTTAATTTAGAAGTGGAATTATACAAATAATGCTTGATTCTGCACAGGTGAGGTGCAGTTAAGATGAAGCTTAATGCACAGTGGTGTATTCTCTCTGCATTAGCTTTCCCAGTCCTGTGCTTGAATGATTAATATGCATTTATTTTTTCCTCAAGCCCTAAAAAATAATATATCCATCTCATTTGGTAATGTTTATTGAATAGTTATGTATTGAATGGAATGCTAAAGACTTTTGGTTTTGGTATTGGGTGAGGTACATAAAGTATATGTGTCTTCCCATTATCACTCTGGAATGATGTACAGCTGCACCCTCATGCAGTAAGTGTTGACCTACTTTCTGCAAAGACTTATCTTGTGGTATTGGTTCCAAAAATGAACAGTCGAGGCTGACTTTGGAATACGGCGGACTATCCTCTTTGCCTAATGAAGCCAGAGAAGAGTGATTTAACTTTACTGAGCCTAAAGTAAATATTTTAATTGTCATCTTCCTGTGGGGTACATTAATGGATCTGAAAAAAACAAGCTATGTTCGTGATACCTGGCAAAAGTACGATTATGTTTAACGTTTAAGTGAGTAAATAAATCTCGTGTAACATTGTTTCTGTAGTTCTTCTAGAGATTAACATAGTAACTTGGAATTTGAGAAAATCTGAGAAAACCAACTGTTACCCTAGGCAGATATTGAGAATAGCTACATTTTGTAAGCTTAAGGAAGGTACATTTGAGCAGTTTATATTCTCAACTGTTTGATACTTACCTCAAATCAATGCAGCTTTCCTTTAAATCACTTACACCTATGCCATTTTTAACTTTGAATGATATAGATGCCTTCTTTTTTCTTTTTCCACCCTTTATAATGCAGTGACTGACATGCAGGCACCTCCCCTCCCCAAAGAAACACGTGGAAGCACTTCTTCCTGCTGTAAAATTACAAGGAGCTGTTCTGCCTGTTTTTAGGAAAGGAACGCTTAATCATTGTAATCTTTCTACAAGACTAGGCCCTGATTATGGATGGGAGGATGTCACTGCAGGTCTCTCTGTAGACCTGTAACAGGTATTTATTCAGCCAGTTGTCAGCTGGACGATTAGGACTGCAATAGCTGTTCCTGCAGATACCTTTGAAAGGGGCTGTGTCTCAGGACACTCTTACTCCTTGGACAGTAACTTTGCAGATGACGTGGGGATCAGCCACGAAAGAACTTTTTGGGAAAGCAGTTGAGTTTAAGTGGCTTCTAGGGACCTGAAAGTAGATGGATATCAAAAGCCTCAGCTCCAGAGATAGATGGCTTCTCTGCACAGGACAAAGACTCTTGTGCTGTAGTTTGCCTGACGATGCAGAATCATGATGATAGTGTTCGCAGTCATTATGCAAATGTAGCGTCCTGGACTGTGGATGAGAAATGAATGCATGCGTTTGGCGCAATCCCAAGTTCTAACATGCAGAGTCCTTGACAGGATATTTTTGATCTGGGCTATCTGTGCAAGGTACCTGCTCCAGTGAAGAAGCGTCAGTTACTGATGCTGAAAAAGGAAGAAGGCAATGAAGTGGCATTTTCCTGCAAGGGATGCACGGGACCTTCCCTTATTGGCAGAGAAAATTCAGAATTGTGCTGAGGAAAGATTCATGTAGATTTAATAGTTTGAGCCCAGGTTGCTGAGGCACAGTCAGATGTGAGGAATGACATGAATGCAGCTTGCCACGTGATTTTTAGGGTCATTATGCATATATCACCGTGTTACTTGCAAATATCTTCATGGTCAGAGCATGATATTGATAAAGGCAGATCCTTGTAGACAGCAAACTCGGGCTTCAATGAATTTGATTATTTGCGCTGCCTAAAGGTGGATCTTGCAGTTAACCAGAACATGCCTGAGGAACTGAAGACTTTGTAATTCTTGTAAGTTGCAGGAAAATCCTTAGCAGCGCCTGCCGCCTTCCCTCAAAAGCAAATGCTACAGATAGTGATGATTAATAATGTTAGTGACATCGACATTTGGTTGATTTAGTCAAGAACTTTGTAATTACTTGATAATGGTGTTCTGGGAGACTAAGGCTCTAACATCATCCTGCTAAATGTTACAAAATGCAGGGGACTTAAACCTACTTCCTGAAGTTCATTAAGCGCTTCAGAAGTTCAGTCAGCAAAACTGACTGCTGATTGGGGACACAGGACTGTCTTCTCCCAGGCAGTACCAGCTTTAAGGAAAGCAGACCTGAATGATTAATCTCCTTAAAATACAATAGGAAGAATTGCTCAGTATAAAATGATTTATATCGTGTTAGTTCAAGCAGTCCCTATTTAAACTACCCAACTGAGTAGTTTCAACCACTCGCTTGTGGAAATTGCAAGGGCTGTTTGGCAGCTGAGGTACCTCTCCAGCAAAAGGTGTCATGGAGTCTTCCAACAGAAAGAACGAACGTTGTGGGTTTTTTTTTTTTTTCTTTCTTTCTTTTATGGCACACATCGCTATCAAACTTTTGTTAGTTCTTTGGTAAACTTTCTTTTAAACTTTTTTTTTTATGTTTCTTTCATAGTTTTGCTTTTTGAACAAATTGAATATATCCTAACTAAAATTGTTTTCTTTTTCATGGTTAATTTTATGCTTTTAATATGCCCTGAAAATTGCCTTATTTTAACTGCTTAGGCAAGGTGTACAAAGGACAAAGTAGTGCAAAGTTTTGGGTTGGTTCTAGTTCATTTAATACAATTATTAGTTTGCAGTTTTATACAATTCTATACAAGTATATTGATCACAGCACTTCACTGAGTTGTAATTTTGACTTCAGAACTGTAAATCAGAGGGAAAAGCAAGTATTTGGTTTGCTTTAAAACTTGCAACATTGTGTCCAGTGCTTCAAATATGGTAACTAACGTCTTTTTCATGTGAAATTCTGAGTGGATTCATTGAACATGAAAGACCTAGATTAAACTCTCAACAGTCCCAGGCTGACAAAGCCATCAACTTCCTCCACCCTCAACTTTTGAGGTAGTTGGCCCCGAAAGTTATCAAAATTTTGTATAGATGGATCTGAAAGAAAAACTACTTTTACGGACCAAAGTGCTTTCCACTGAAAATGTCCTGGGCTCAAATAGATGTAATTACAGATCTCACACTCAAATTTCCAAGCTAATTGAACTAAATTGGCATATATATATGTTAGGCTAGAAACAGTTACGGATTTTATAGCTAGGTACGGCCAGTAGATTTTTCCCATTATAAAGGAATATATTACATATTATATTCTCTGTAGCAAAGATGAATTTTTTTGAGTTTTTTTTTTTATAAATAAACCACTATAAGGAGCTTTTCATGGTTTTTGGCTTTTGAAAGGTATGAGGTTTTGTTTCACCTTGAGTCTTTTCTTTTGCTGCAATTTCTCTTTGACCTCGCCTCATTACAGCTATATTTAAATAGGAAAGCTGTGAGCTATATGAACTGTGATTTAAAAATAGTTCTGAACCATATTTAAGATGGTGGTTAAGGGGCAGCTTTGGAAATAGTGCACTTCTATTTGCCTTTTCTCAGTATAAAACTTCGAGAGAAGCAGAGTTGTATACTGTGACCAGTCTACATATGCCATTGCAAAGAAATCTGAGGGAGTCTTGTCGAAATTATTGTTTAGTCCTTGACGTGAGGTTTGTGTATATTCTATTTTGGTTTTTACATACCGTTAGAAAGCTATCTAACAGTGGTGGGACCTAATATGTATAAACATATTTTATTTTAGTCTGAAGGGAAAAGCCACACAAGTACTGGAGATGCGATTTATGAAGTTGTCAGTCTACAAAGGGAGTCTGCCAGAGAGGAAGAATTGGCCAGCCCAACAGGTGGAGGACCAATATCATCCCAGGAGGATGAGCCAGAAGAGGGTAAGAACAAACAAATGCGTTCAGTTGATGATGGGGACTGTTGCTATTCACGGCTCCACAGTATTTGCCTGCCCCTTCCAAAGCAAACAGTTCCTTAACCTCTTTCCCATTGTTTTTTGAAGGCCTTTGGCCTACTGTAATCTCTTTTTGCTTCTGAGGGTTAGCCCATAGCCTTCAGAATGTACTTTCTGCATGACCTACCGAAACCTACAGTTTTACAAAGTGATCCTTCTGTTTTTTTTTTTTTTGCTCTGTTCTGTCAGTAATGTTTAAAAAAAAAAAAGCATAAAACTTACTGATTACAGCAGAAAAACTCCTCGATTCCTACTTCTAGGTAAGTAGTTGGATATTAGTTTATGCAATACGAATTCATACTCTCTGATTAACACAGTCAGAAGTAGACAGGTATGGTTACTCTATTCCAGTTACAGATAAGAATAACTGAATCCCAGGTGAGACTAGGCTCTACAAAGCGCATAGCCAGGTTGTCTTTGCCGAACTGGAAACCTTCGGCTGATTCTTTGGATGGAGCAGGAAAGGTTTGGCTACCACTGTCATCCTTCCCTTTCATCCAGTGCCACTTATGAATAGTAAAAATACCATTTTCTCTAAAGGAAGCTTTTTATATTAAATTGATATTTGGGAATGCTTTTATATTAAATTGATATTTGGGAATGCTTTACTATTTATAGCAATAATTATTTCAGATCTGACCTCTTGGCCTTGTGATTAAGTTTTCTATAGTTTAAACATCTGTGGGTGTTCTTTTCTATGCTGGATATTTGAGTTGCATAGATGTTTGCATAAGAAGGTGTTTTGTAGCTTGTTTGATAGAATGAGGTTAAGTAATAACTTATATATAATTTCATATTGCTTCTTACTGAGAAGAGTAAAGCACTGCTCCAGAATTTAATGAATGTGGCACAATTAGTAATATGTGGATGTTGTCCTCTTGGTACTATTGTAAAACCAATATTATTATAGGGTAAGAGTATTGTGCTGAGGTATGAACTTAAGTTTACCTCTGGTTTAGCTTCCTAATGTAGTTTCTGTATTTTAAATGTAGACTGCTTCCTAAGAGAAGACATTAAAAATATCATGTTGTTACTCTGTTCTCATGGAAACTACATTAACAGTTATTTGCCTAGAAGTTATCTATCCTAGTGGATCTGGAGGTTAAATGAGTCACTGCCAGTTGTTCTAAATAAATCTCTCTTCCCCGCCACCCTTTCTCCTTTTTCTTTTCTTTTCCAGGGTGCTAATTATGATCATGGGAGGGGAGAACCAAAAAAAAAACTTGAGTTTAGAGTCTTAGCCTTGGAAGAAGGCTTTCTCTTTTCTTTAGTGTTAGAGATGGTAGCTGCTTGGTCGAATAGTTTCTTCTGCTTCCTATTGTACTTGGGCAGACTGCATGTAAGGACTCCTCTATTTCATAGGCTGGAGGTTGGTGTTCCCATTTATAGAAATTGAGGATTATCATCTGTTCTCTGTATTTTTTTGCTATATTCTTGGATATATTCTACATCCCCATAGAACATGACTTGATTTACTTCAAAAGCACTATATAATGCAATTTGATTTGTGTTACGTGGTAAGAATGCATGTCCCATTTTCACCTCAGCCTGATTTTTAGGTAGTTTGTATATAATGTGCCTGTATGTATGCGCACACCTCGGTGAGCTATCTTATGTAATGAGTGTGTGAATAAAGATTTTTTCATACCAAAAAATTGAGATCATATTTTCCCTAAATTTCTTCCTAGCTTTTAACTTTTTTCTTTTCTCATTTTACTTTTATTTTTTTCACCTGGACAGCTACATAAAAGCAAAAGATCTTTGTGAAGATTGTGCATAGCTACTTACAGATCTTTCAGATCAACCTCACATCTTTTTAAAATGATTAATGTTGTAGTAGATATTTCTGGCAACCCAGCCATCTAAGGTTCCCTGCCTTAGAGATAATATTTAAAAAATATAATTATCACTAAAATGATTTTTTTTTTTCAAACCTAAAATTTAACGTCTACTCCTTGATAAGCTTTCTCTTAAATTCAGGCTATAGTTTAAAAAGAGATTCACATATATAATGAGGAAGATTTTGCACTTTCTCAAAAGGTTTCAAATAAGATGCCTTTAAGTATCAATTTCCAACAAAAGGAGAAAAGTACGCTTAATTATGAGTAAAAACTTGTAACAAGGTGCAGAGCACTATTGGTTGAACTAGAGATTATTTACTTACTGCATTATTCAAAAAATACAAAATTGCAGAGTTTTTTCACTGTAGTGTGATGCTCTGGCAGGATGAAGCAGCTGGTTGTATATTTGTCTAAGGACTGGAGAAAAAGGCTTTACAGCAGAAGCTTGCACGAGGAGTATGTAGGCCTAGAAAACAGTGACAAATGAGAAGGGGAAGAATAGCGTGGCTTCCTTTAGCAGCAGAGCTTGCCTAGAGCATATGTGAAACTATGACCTTTCTTTGACTGTTTATATGTTTTGTTTTATTTTTTTTATAATCTAACATTTCAAGAGACTGCTTTATTAGTCTGTTTGGTTTTATTTTTCGAATCAGAATACAGTTAGGAGGTTAAGGATCATTGTAAATGAGAGCAATTCTGTTTAAAAAAAACAGAATATTGCCCCTCTTTCCACAGTCTTCAAGCTGACTGTAAATTAGCTGATAAAGATATTCCAAAACTGGGTAATTCAGAGTAGGATAAAATGCTTAGAAAGAAGGAAAACCAAACAGTTTATTAACGCATTACAATGAAAGACAATTTTTAATTGCACTGACTTACTAAGGAAGTGCTTATGTTTTTGAAAATGTTTATTGCAGTTCCTATTTTTTTAATTAATTTGTAAACCAAAGATATGTGTCTACCAAGTCTCCAAAAAGAAGTTTCTGAACATGAGTTGTAGAATGCAGCTAGAACACTCTCAGATGTCTTCCAGGAATGCAGTACTGTCTGGGTTTGTGCTTTTATTTTGCCAAAACAATAGGTTTCTTGATAATTGGGCACTGCTTTTCTGACAGCAGGGAGTTGAACGGGGATCCAGTTGGCAGCATAGCAGATACTGTTCCATAAGCAGTGGACTTAAACCAAAAGAATTCTATTGAATGTGTTTGGTACGTAGTTACTGGCTTTTGATAAGGAGAAATGCTATATAAATATTAAATTGTAGGAGGAAGAAGGGTCAGGAGAAGAAATAAAATATAATAAATATTAAGAGGGTAAAGCTTTCTATCTAGGTTTTCTCTAGCTGTCTTCACTGTCCAAGAACAAATAGAAAGAGGTAGTATATATTACAAAAATTAATGCATTGAGATATTGAAATTCAGTGTGGAAATGGTGAAATTTTACAATGAGAAGGAAATTGAAAGGATAGAGGACCCTGAAAGCATCAGAGAAATCAGAGAGCGCAATGGATTGGACAACACAAAAAGACTGGGTGGGTAGAGTAGGTGAGAAGTGGGCAATATACTAAATGATTGGAGATGATCAGCAAGGCTATATTAGGATGCTGGGTCAAAAGTTGTGAGTGGGTAGAGGCTGTTCTCGGGAATGGAAAAGCAAAGGAAAGCAGCAGTAGAGGAGGTGGCGAGACAATGATAGCTATTAAGAGTACCCTGCGATAAAATAGGGGGTTATGATCAGAGACCGTGAACAAATGAGGATGATTGAGTGAGAAGAATGACATTAGCAGTATGGAAATAGTCAACTTGGCATTTTTATCCAAATTAAAAACAGTTTTATGTAGTTCATAGGAACTGTTTGTTTGTCAAAACCCAACACGGGGTAAGATTGCTGGGTCCTATATCCTACTAAACAGAATCAGTTAAAACTGTATTGGATTACTTTTAATGTTGCCATAAAAATGAACTAAAATTTAATAAATCCTAAATTCGTCAGGGCTTTCGGATAGTAGCTGTGTCTTGTGCTGTCTTCAGGCAGAAACCTTTGTTGCAGTTCCATAGGAGATGTTTCTTTAAAATGCAAGTACTTCTGAAGAATGCAGATGTGTGGCTTTCAGATGGAAAGACAAGATTCTTGATGAGTCTCCATTCTCTAATATCATATTATTTTCATGCCTTGCTAGTTAACCTTTATTGTTGTTTAAAATGCCCTCAACTGGCTTCTGCAGTTAATATTGTGCTGCCAGAAAGACTATGATCCCTTCCTTAGTATATAAAAAATATTGAGTGCAGAAGACTGTCAAAATCTTTTTTTTTTTAATTTGCCCTGGATGATGGAACTTTTCTTGATATTTACAGCTATGTGTAAAATAGTTCATGCAAGTATGGCCTTCTATTAAAAAGACAAATGTTTTGAATTTTTTCAGTTGGAAGCACTTTTATGGGCTACAAATCCAGTATGAGTCGTAATGAGATTACAAGGAATTGGGGAATTTTAAGATTGTTTCCAGGCTTACTTTATAAGGGAAATACAAGGAAGGACACCGGAGAGGGGCTCAGATTCTTTCCTGTCCTGTAACCCAGATCGCAGAGTCGGCTTGTGGTGTAGGCTTGCAGGCTGGCCCCCGAGAGACGAGTGTGACTCTTTCTCTCCGGTGTCCCCGGGATGCTTCTGCAAGATGGGTCTGTTTGGGAACACGTTGTATGTAAGGATTCTTTCTTTGATAAAATCTGTTGTTGGTGGTGACTTTCTGACGTTCAAGGCAATGTATAATTCCATGCAAATGCTTCTTGTCCGATAGCTCGTGAATAGTCCATGCAAGTCTATTGGCTCTTAAGTTTTATTCTTGTGGCTGCTCCTCCTGCAGAATGAGGGGAAAAGGCTACTTTCAAATTCATGAAGTTTTTGGTTCCTTGAGTGCATAGACCTCTATGTCCATAGACCTCTATGTCCATAGACTTTGATTTAAAAATTTTTACGGCTTACATAAAATCACTTCAGTTTGTGGTACAAAATAGACATTTTTCTATAACAATTGTGAATAAATTGGTGTTTGCATCTTATCCAGAAGCATTTTACTGATTATTTT